CCTGATGTGCTACTATTTAGATATGTCGAATTTTTAATCCAGGATTTTACCAAATTTATTCACACTTCATTCTCAACCTTCTGTACTTCATTTTGTCTTGTTTTGATAATGATGAAGTTCACAGCAGCATACACGGGTCTTATTTGAATTATGAGATTTGACTTTCCCCTTGTTCAACGTTGTGAACAATATACTAGTAATGCACAGCAAATAATGTCTGGTCATACCTGATGTCACCAGCTTGGCGCTTTCCAAGGTTGAAGAGAATGAGACAAAAGCCAGTTGCAAGTATCTACACGAAAGTTGAAACACGCAATAAAGACACAAATTTTATCGTATACAATGACCAGCGAGTACCCTTGTAAGACATCTTATTTTAATCTCTACAATGTCAAATCGAATTGATGGGTTCAGGGCATAATGGTGCATGGAAATTCTCAGCACATCAGATGAAGATCTAACCATGAGATTATGACAAGAAAGGAGTAAAATGTGCCACAGAACTTTCACACAACATAAGCTCATAATTGTTTTTCTCCCAAACAACAAAAGACTCTTTTCTTTTCAAACTTCGTTTCAGGGGGAATTCAGATTCAAAAAAAATCACAAATAATTATATACAGAAATTTGTGCACCGAATTTATGGAGCAGCATCCCTAGTCCAAGCTATTCATAGGCAAGATATAGCGGAGTTGAACCCATAAAAAACAGATAGTAAGTGGACTAAAAGCCCAAATAATAGAAAGGAAGAAAGAGACATACATACAAAGGTCCGAGATCCCATCTGTGGGCGACAGGAGCAAGGATAAACCACAAAGTTATGAGAAGCCACGCCTTCAGACTCAGAGTGAAAATTACCATCAAAACAACATCTGTGAATGGAGAATGAGCATTTTTAGAAGATTGTTAATGTCAAAGGGAACTATTATCATCATCATTGCCCACGAGAGATTCAAACATCTATGTTGATGCCTGGAATAATGCATACACCTGCTGAATGACCCAGTTTAAATTGTCTGCAAGCAAGCAGATTATGGTGACACATACTGCAGATGCTTCAAGGGCCACATTGGTATAACTAGAAGATTTGGAAGTAGGAATATTTGAATGATTTATTCAAGAAATAAGTGAAATGATGATTTGAACATTATGGATTCAACAGTAAATGATTACATATTTGAAGGATGACAATAGTGATTTACTAAAGCCTAAACAAATACCATTTATTCAGCTTCATACCTGGAAGCTTCAAGTTATCGTGTAGAAAAGTGTAAAGCCACTTCTTCCACCGACTTGATGAGTGAGGAAGCCGAAACTTCTGCAGAAGAAGTAATCAAGATGACATTGAATCAAATGCATACCAAATTGACGTTATGGTCACTTTGTTAGGTAACAATGAATTGATTTTACCAGATCTTCATCATCATCATCATTGTCATATTCATCCTTCACGGGTGGCTTTGGTTTGACAGCAACAATCAAGCTATCTAGTATATCAAAAAACAATTAATCACATCTCTGTATGATGTAGGAATATTTAAGATCAAATGCATAAAAGAAAAAAACTTAAAATGTAAGAGCCCCAAAAAAGATAGAGAATCAATCAATATAATCAACAACTAATGAGGTATTTTTTATTTTATAATAGACCAAGGAATAAAGTTAGGGAGACAATGGTTTCAACTGATGCAGTCCCAGAAGCAAAAGTTATTTTCAAAAGGTAAAATTGTCAAGAGCTTATCTGGATAATTCTCTTCATAAACACTACCAGGAGAGAAAAATAAGAAGAAAAAATGAAATGAGTTTCTTTATAAGCTAAAGCTAGCTAATGCACAAGTTAAAAATAACAATTTGGAGAAGTTACATGAGAGAACTTGTACAAATAAACTCGTATATGAGCTAATTTTAGCTAAGGAAGAAGTTCATTTCATTTTTTCTTGTTTCTCTCGTAAAAGTACTTAAGGAGAAATTTGTCCGAAATCTATAACAAAGTTGAAAGGATGAATGATGCGACCATATCAAAGACTACGGAAGGTTGCAACTTTAAGTTGGAAATGTCAGAAAAAAATTATAAGCATACACCGCCATCTTGGATACACCTATTTTACACTTTTACATGTTGGTTAAACTAGTACAATGTATTGATTAAATTAGTATAACTATTGATTATTTGAACCAATATGGCGATTGTAACACATCCAAACATTACATAACCATTAAAAGGGCTTCTTAAACCTCCATAGTCATCACTAATCTTGTAATAACATGAAAAATCAATGATCACATGGTTATCATGTAGACACATGTCATCCTAATTTTTTTTCAAGATCACAACACTCTGGTTAAACCAGTGCAATATTTTAGTTAAATTAGTGTAATTGTGAATTAAAGTCTAAGTAAGTAGTGTCAAGTTACTGTAAGGAATTTGAGTGTTTTACATCTATGTGCACTCAATGTCATAGAACATTCTTCTTTTTCTTTAAAGAAGTCAATATAGTGCATTTATCAAATAACCAAACTAGGACTAGAACTATACCTCCATCATTGAGTTGTACAGATAATTCATCTCCATTTTTCATGTCACACAAAGCACATCCACGCAGAATAAGACTCAAGTTCTCAATTGGTAAATTAACATTCTCAGCAACTAACCTCCTCAAATCACGCACCTATATGTGATTTAAAAGAAACAAAAGAAATGAAAAAATATCACCTATAGTTAACAAGATGGATCGCCAAAGAAACTAATTAAAAGAAATGAAACCATAACCATTCTTCCCAAAGAAAGGCAGGGCCAGAATCAACATAGCTTGATCACCTCGATCCCCCCTTCCCAAACAACACCCTTTTTGGAAAAACAAAACATTAACAAACAAAAATAAAAATACTCGCAGTTTGAGTTACGAAGGCACACTTGGCATAGTCCATGATTCGATTGCAACTAACCCTAGCGAAGTATCATTGTCAACTGAAATCTCGTCATCAGGGAAAAGGGTATAAATTTTGATTCTTTTTTTGTTTTACCAACGCCCCAGAGAAGAGGGGAGAACAACAGTGGATTGAAACGGTGTGAATTGAGATGGTGGAATTGAAAATGAAAAACGCAGAAATTGAGAATTGAAGGGGGAAAGAAGTTAGAAGAGAAACCTTGATGGAAGAAGGAAGTAGGAGGCGAGAGGGGCGTGCAGGACCAATAGTTTTGAGGACGATCTCCACCTTCTTCTCCGAGTCTTGTTCCTCCATGCCCATCTCTGAATCAAACCACGTACCACTCTACCATCATCAATACCAATTAATTAAAATATGCTTTTGAATCAAATTCATTTTAATTCCATTAAAGCTAATTTAGACCCATTAATTAATTCATTCTAAAAGAGATTCATAAATAATTTGTTTATCATTCTTTTAGAGTAAACAGTCAAATTTATTGTCACTTTAGTTTTCAGATTATTGAAATTTTACCTGACCACATTAGTTCATAGATCCTTCTGAAACATCTTAAACCATATTCAGAATGACCATTCGAACCCATTTGAAAGACTTCTAAATTTTTTATTTATTTTAGATATTAAACTAGATTTAAACCCAGCCACGGTGATTTGTGTGTTTTTTTTTATGTTTATATATATATATATATATATATATATATATATATATATATATATATATATATTAAAAGAATGTTGAAATTGAAATTTTTTTTTGATATTTTTAAGTTTATAATTAAGTTTTTAATAAAATTTATTTGAAAAATTATTTATAAGTTTAAAAAAGTAATATATATGTAAAGATAATTTTGAATTATGAGAGTTTATCTAAAAGAAAAAGAATGAGTAAATATTATTTATAATGTATTAAGTATTATTTATATTTTTTCTTCAACAAATTATTCTTAAATTACAAGAAAGTGTCAGCAAAATATATGTATGAGTAAGAAAGTAAATTACAATATCAAATAAATAAAAAAACCAACATTTATCTAGTATTTTATTTCATAAAATAAAAAGTTATATTTTGAAATTACTATCAATTATATTCTTGTGAATGATGTTTAGTGATCTATTTAATTAAGTTTCTTCATAAAAACTTGCAGAAAAAATATAGAAAAATCTATCTAACTTTTATATGAATTAAAATTCGATCATGTAAAAGTTCTTTCCTAGAAACTCTTTAAGAATTATATTTTTATTTAGTATATAAATTAAATTTAACTTATTAGTAAGTCAAATTCTTTTTTTCTTAAAATTTTTATTAAGAAATTAATAAAAACAAATTTGAAAGAAAAATTCGTCCTAACAAAACTTATGTATGAAACATAAGAATTATTTTTGAACTAATAACAATGAGATAAGAAAATTAAAATGTGTTCATATTTGAGTTGACTAACATATGTTTTTTATTTAAGTGCTAAATGTTTATTAGCAATTAATTTTCCTTGTTTTACCCTAAAAAATGACGTTTTGATAAAATTTACTTAAAGCAACACAATTTTTAGATTCAATGAATTAATAAAAAAAAGTATCCGTAATTCTTGAAAAAATCATTTTAAAAATTTCAGTTTTACCTTTTACAAATTGTATTGAGCCGAAATGGTTTATAAGAATTCCCAACCCAGCTAGCGAATTGGCGCAATTGAAGGGCGTCCATTGTAATGAAAACTGCATCCCATCTTAATTTAGTAGCACTTTGACATTACCGGAATTGACAATTGAACTGTGAAAATAATAACATACTTTTGCCGTGATTATATAGTTCTAAATAATTCAGCTACCATCGTCTTTAGATTAATTGTATAAAAAATTCGCAAAACTATATTGATCTATATTCAACTTATAAAAAAAATATTTCATTTTCTTTGATTTTTCTTTCTTAATTAGAATTATAATAAAAAGAAATTGTCTATCCTAAGCCAATGCATATCATTTCATTACAATACAATGGAATAGTTTCTTTATCTTGATTATCGTCATGCTCCCAATAATCCAATCCTTTTCTATCTATTTTCACAAAGATTCAATTATTTGCATTATTTGTATGATTCACTTTTAAACTGAAACAAGAAAATAGAAGTACATGCTAAGACAAGACTGCATTGGAGTTACAGGAAGCAGTTCGTTTCCTATGAAAATCATGCTGTCATTCATCTATTTTTCTTACATAATCTACAGCAGAATCACCATTCATATGGGTGTGACACTGTAAACTTTTTTAAAGCTTCTTTGCTTGAAAAGGAGGATGACAAATTCCATAACTGCATAAAAGTGGTCAAAACAGTATTGTTAATATAAGAAAATGTTCTACACTTACAACCTCACATGAAGTAACATAGTATTGAGACAACACAATCGTCACAGTCAAAAAAACAACAAACGACCCAAGCATGTGGCCTGTGACAATATTTACATAGGGTTGCAGTACAGTTGAGACAATACATAATCGGTTCAGTCACAACATTAGCATACAGAAAATTCAACAAAACGATAATCCATGAGATACACAGGAACTAGTTTATCATAAAAACTGATCAGATTTTGAGATCAGGAGATTCAGCATAGGAAATCGAAATCAGCTCGGACCTAAATTTGTCATCTTTATCACGGCTTGGCATTGCAACCCCATCTGACTTCTTGCTCTCAGACACAGAGTTTGAATCCAGAGTCTTTTCAGGCAGAGAGTTAGAGATAGCAATAAGAGACTCACGTGCCACCTCTTTGGACCCCTTGGTCAGTGATCCGTTATCCATATAACTATACGACTTTTCTTTTTTTCCTACAATTCAAAACCAAAATTCTCAGAGTTCATCCAATCCGAGGGATAAGATATTTTAAACTTATGATGTGATATCAGATATTTTAAATTTATGTTATGAAAGCAGGTGATCCTTGACTGGGTTGGTCAGAAACATGCTGACTGGAATTTGGTCAAACTTGATCAACCCATTCAACCTGTTAGGTTTATTTGACCTCAAACTAACCGCCAGATTGGGCGTACTGTCCGGAATTCTCTACCATGTTTAAAATAAGACCTATTAGCTTGTGGTAAACTTCATCCACCCCATTATTGCTATCATGCATGAATATATGGCATAAATAGGTCTATAAGTGTCTTCGCACAGTAAGGTGGATTCAAAAGCATAGCAAACTAAAACACCAATGTTATAACTTATAAGGACGAGCCAATACGAGAACTCAAGCTGTCAAACAAGACCAGCACCACAAGCACGCCCAAAGGTTTGAGGTCAGTTTGTGATCTCGCGATAAAATTAACAAACACTTTCAAAATACCAAAATATGTTGAATTGCTTATAGTTACTTCCATACCTGTCTTTAAATCTTTCCAAAACTATCAAAATGCACAACATGTACAGGAAAAATTAGGAGAGAAACATCTTTTGCAAGTCCAGCATTCCAAAAGTAGCAGTAATGATTCCACTGGTATGACTAACTGGTTAACCTCTTCAATGGACATAATATCACCAAAACTGTTTTTCTAATCTAAATAATCTAGTGAATCTGAAATCTTGGCATTCGACCTGAAACAAAAATGCATATATGCCCTACTTAACATTCGATATCTAAGATCAAACATGGTTCAGTATAGAATATCCCCATTTTTCTATTACTCAAATTTTAGAAATTTCATAACACTATTTAAATCGAAAAAAATGTAAACTATTTTTCTTAAAATATAAAATTAAATTTAAATCAATCTAATTATATAGATTAAATTTAAAAAATTCAATAAACACCTTACATGACAGTAACAATAGGCATCTTCATCTTCGAAATCAATTCAATATTTCTTATCCAACTAGACAGCTCCTCTAACATTTTTCCTCCGCTATTCCCTTTCGTTAGGTCTTTTCACTTTTTGCCTAGTCTCATCCATGACAAGAAAATGAATCTACTTTTTACTCAAGCATATGTTTTTTTTTCTCTATTTAGAGGTATCATTTGTTGCCGGTAGTCTTGAATCGAATAGGCTCTAAAGTCCATGTATAAAATACCATCAAGTTTTACTACCCAAAAAGAGGGACAGAAAAAGGAGAATGAAAGAAAATTATCTGCCAACTACAACCATATCCAACAGTTCTCAACTTCTTCGAATTCGCAGGAGCAAGAACTGATTCAAACATGTATTGTAATACTTTAATATTTAGAATTATTGCAAGATTCTTACAGTACCCTTACCAATGATAATTAATGAATGATAGTCAATATTTAGTTATGTTCCCGTTCAACTAAAATAACATTGTAAAAATACAAATACAAGTTTGTATTTTAATCGACACATGGAAAAATATTATCCGCAGCTCATTATGAAGGGTACACCAAATACAAAAGGAGAAAGAAACCTCATAAATTATCCAGTTTAGCTTTCAGAGGCACGAGTTTTCATATTTACAATGAAACCGTTGATATAAGCTATCTTAACCCAAAAAGGCTTCGGCTGTGAATTTCTTCCACTAAGCATTATATAGAGGTTATTTTCTTCATAGAGCTCTAGACGATATGAATATTAAAGGTCTTGCAAAGCAGTTGATTCAGTCGCAACAGGAAGTGAAACAATGATTCAGTCACATACACTATGCAGAAACCAAAGAAAAACATGAACAATAAATGTTCTTTTTTTACTTTACATATACCTAGCACCACGTATCCAACAATAAACAATTCTAAATAGAAAGGACGGGAGAAGTAGCCACAACATGAAATTGAAGTTTGATTATCAAAAGTTAGACCGAATTACTAATTTATCTCAGAAACACTAAAATTCAAATTACGACTAACATATATGCCGAAGTAATCTAACTCATAAGTTACTCTGAGATTGTCACGAGCAATTTTTAGTTCATAAACTGAATCATCTCGAAATTATCCAATAAGCTAGTTCGATATTGCCAAGAAAAATCGCACAAACAATTTTTTCTTCTAATTTGAATCATCACCCTGAAACCGAGTCAACCTGACCGATTGCAGCGGATTTCTGCAGCAGGTCATGAAGACTCAAAATCAAGGAAAGAAATCGACAAAAATGTTAATTTGGCATTCATGCAGATATTATTTCCAATTCTTTCATCAGGAATGAACATATGAGTTGCGTTGGTGTGTTTTAGAATCCCCAATCGGAGAGAAAACACGATGAGGAAAACAGGGAGAAAAGAATCAGAAAAAATGAGGTGAATCTATGTATGAGTAACAAGAGAAGAGTCGATCGATGAGAAGGATTTAGATTGCGAAGAGTTAGAAAGAAGAATTTTGGGGGTGGCATCCGTACCTTGGAAGTTAACGAGAAATAGGAAGAGTGAGTAGATGTAGGACCCTTTCTTTTCCAACAAGACGAAACTATAAATTTTGTAAAAATGAATCTCACGGGAGCGATTAAGATTCGGGATTTGCAATTTAAGGGACAATCACGCGCTTTTCGGCTTTCGTCAGAATCCTGCATGTTTTGATTTTCCCCAAAATTATCTTTTGTAAAAATAACCAACTAACAAATTCCCTTATCTTAAACAAAACTTCTTTTTATATTTATCCAAATAATTCTAAAGTAACATTTTTTCCATTTTCCAAATTTACAATTACTTTTTTAATAATGTAATTTAAAGAAGTGTTTTTATTTGGGTTGGATTTAAGCCATCTAAAATCCACGCCGGATAAGGATACCGATAGACTTATATAGTTATGTCCTCAGTAGCATAATCATTGATGTTTGAGATTCTAACAATAATAAATATACCACTTTTTAAATTAATTTTCTTTAGATACTTTTAATTTTGTAATAAATATTGAAAGTAAAGAAATTAATTTATTTGAGAATATATTGGAAAGAAAAACTTAATTGAAATTTTAGATCATTGCAAAATTTGGAATATTTTTCTGAAGAATTTCTTTAATAAAACTATGAAAATAATTTTAGTTTTGACATTATTTGATAAGATAAATTATTGAAATAATTTCTAAACTATAAAAGGTAAGACTTCATTTAATAATTATTAAACAAAATATTAAAATTATCATAATTCAAAACAATTAGATAGAAATATACAAAATATTAATATAGTTGTTTAAAATAATAACTATATTAATATAATATATAAACTAAAGTAAGTCTTTAAAAAAATAATTATACAAGAAGAAGAATAACGAAATCTTCTGTTTTCACTAATGACATTTGTATCTGACTTATTATCTACTCACATCAAATAGATGATCATTGTACGAAAAAAAAATAACACAGAAGAAAAAAGGAAGAATAAATTAGTGTTCAAAACGAAAAAAAAAAATGTCATTTCAATAATTTAGATCATAGAATATATTAAATCATGTATCAAATTTCATATCTCATATAACATACATATAAATAACTCTAGATTCAATTATCTGGATATATGCCTTGACATAAAACTTCACTGAAGGTGTGTATTTGTAGTAGTATTTATACTTTGTAGAGTCACAAACACGGGATTGTCACTCCTATTACTCACACGAGGTTAATCTTTCATGCCTAAGACTAAAAGTCTAAGGTAAAGACCTCTTGTCATTCTCTCTCCCACACTATTCATCTTTACATGAGTTAAATGATTGGTAGAATATCAATATATCTCTTTTCTGAACTCTAGTCTACACTAACAATTTTTTCAAAACATAAAATCTCTCCTTGAGACTCTTCTCACATCTCATATCATTCATACTCACAGTCATATTTATAATCCATGAAGCATCCATGATTCCAATAAACATGAAATGAATCCATATAAACCACTTAAAAAAAAGCAAGAATAACAAAATATCACAAAAACCATGTACTGGCTTTGCAACATGGAAAGTTCAGTGTCAAAGCTCTCGCATTTTTTCTCGCTCAATGCAACAAATCTCTTGCTCAATGAATTAATTTAAATTAAGTTCCAAACCTAGAGTGGTAATTGGCAATTAGCGGTGCTTGTCAGCGCTCAACGTTACATCATTCGCATTTTGGTCCGCTCAGCAGTGAAGCTAGGAGCATTATATTAGAAATTATGCACCTTTTAAAATTATGATTTGATTATACTTAAGACCTATTCAAATGACAAAAAACAGTATTCCTAACTCAGTGATTGGTTCAAAACATGTTTAAAATATCAGATTAAATACCAATTTGCTCAAATAGCTAGAGACTCAATATATCAACTTACTCTAACTTCAACCAATTCAAACAACACAATAGCATAATAAATAACTAAACTTCGACAACACTTTAAACTAACCAAATAATCAATTTCATAATGTCAGATAACTAAAATGAGACTCATTAAAAAATAATTCAACACTCAATTTAGCAATTAAACACACTTTGACCATTTAACACAACATCAAATCATATTTTCATTCAACACGACAAAAAATCAATTTCTAATTCATCACATCAAAGATCAAATTTTACAAACTAATTTTAATTCACAATATCCAACTCACACACACACTAAGACATTCTAGCTTCCCTTAGAAATTATCAACAAACTCAAAAGACCTTCAAATAGCTCCACCAACACAAAATACTCTAACAACTCTTACAACCACAAAAACATTATCAAGGCAACCGTTAAAACTATTGATTAAGAAAGAGTCTTATGAAAAACTCAAACTTCACATATAAGCAATAATCACTCACATACATGTAAGAGCACAAAGACCAAAGAAAATAATAGAAATCAACTTACTCTATTAACAAACTGATTGGTTAAAGTTGAAGATCTCGCCCTAAGGAGTCCTCAAGGGTTATCTGATGTTCAAATAAATGAAAAGAGATTCAGAAATATTAGAAAGAGGATAAAAAGCTTTAAGAACAAAATTCTAAAAAAATGTATAGTTTTAGATAATAAAATTCATTTATATAAACTTTTATTTATAATTAGTATTTTTACATTAAAATAATTGAGTTTTATTATTTAAAACACGTTCTATAGGTATGTTTTGTATAATCTTACATAAAAACTAAATAAAGTAATTGTGGATATTTGAAGAATAGAAATAACTTCAAATTTAAGAGATTAAAAAATTTGAACTATAAAATATTAGTTTTAATTTTCTTCACATTGTTCTTATTGTGTTATTACCACCCACTTTCATTCTCATCAACGAGTGAAAAGCTAGTGATAATTCTTTTGTTTACCAATTTTTATTATAATCAAATAAATAATTAAAATAAAAATATTAAAAAAGTAAAATTAATTAATTTAAATTTTGGCGTTTTAGGGGACAACTTATTTCAATTTTTTTATAAAATATACTTTTTATATTAGATTTTTCTACAAAATTTCAAATACTGATTATTGTAAAATAACTAATAATTATTTTGTAAACGGATGACTAGCTTATAATTCAAAGCAACGGATAATAATTATATATTTTTTATATTTAATTTATATGTTAAATTTAACACATAGACACTTCAATAATTTTTTGAAGATAAAAATTTATAAAGATAAACTAGTCCATCCTGATGATAAAATCATTAAAACTTTGCACTCATTTATTTATATTTATAATTTTTTTAATAAAAAAATATTAGTTTATTTGAAATAAAAATTAAAACTTTTTTCAGTAAAGCTTTTTTTTCGTACAAAGACTTTCTTTTAACCTTTTAGTCTCTCTTAAAAGGAAAAGTCATATACTTCTTCTTTTCCTTATTCAATTTTATTGTTTCTATGTTCTACACGCATCTATCTGTTTTTAATGAAATACTCAATTTGACCCAACTCTTTATAACAATATAATTTCCACAATCAAAATCGATAATATTTTATTATTAAAATTTTGTAATCTAACTCAAGTGATATGAAAACTTGTTTTTGCCTATAAGCACCTCTTCATTATAAAGAACAGAAGTTCTAAGAATTAACAGAAAGAGAAAGACGAAAAAAGAAATTGGTAGATATTTTATTTCCATAAATATATAGCTATAATATTTGTTTTAATGACGGACGGAATTGATTAATAATTTGTCTCGATAAAATGAAAAAGTCTCGTTAGACTTTTATAAAACTTATAAATCAAATGCCATAGCGATAAGTGTGAACATCTTCACATACAAAAATCCAATGTGTCATAATAATCCTCACAACAAATCTGGTTTTATCGTTGACGCCACCAACCAAAGGTTTTATCTACTCTTGCGAATTGTCGTCAGCTATGATCGCTATTTTGAAACTGTTTGTCTCTATACTATGTTTCTTGACAAACAAATCCTATGAGTATGTTTGATAAGATCAATAAGATAATTGCCAACTTATTTAACTATCTTATAAGTTTGACTCATCTTGTGAGATTTTATTTTTCTTCAATTACCACGACAGTGTAAAGAAACATTCCAAAATAGGTCTAGAACTGTTTATTCTGAAATTTATTCCAGATTCTTCATCCCTGAATAATCTTTTTTTTTTTTCAAATACTCTGAAAGATTTTCAAGTGACATTGTAGCGTAAATTTCATTATTCTATTAGGAGTGCATTAAGTAATTATTAGGGCGAGTTTCTTTCTTCGCCACCTTTCGTTTTCCCTTTAAAAACCATTTTCTAAACCGATTCTTCTTCTAACAGTTTCTTTCTTCCTCGTTCTTTGTCCGTAATCTTCCTCGAAAAGATAAGTTTGTTCTCTGGTTCTGTTTTACTATTTTCATTATTTTCTTTTCCATCAATACACAATGAAACCTAGTTTTCAAGAGACACTTGTTTATGTTGTGTTTAAACCTTTCTTTATATTAACTTTAAACTTTTATTAACTGTGCAGGTACAGTGCACACACATACAAACAACATTCTCGAGGATGTGGAAAACACTAAATTGAGATTGGTTAAAGGTGATCAGTGATGGGTGCAAGATTACCCCTGTTTAATGACGAGTAAGTGATGACATAAATGGAAGAAATTGGAAACAGAGCCTCGAAGAAAAAGGCAATGGAAGGTTGAAGGTTCAGAAGAGGAGAGGATTTGACGCGAAAGAAAGAGAGGGACAGCATTTAGACTTACGGACCCACCACCAAGGATTGGAGTAAAGTTCACACAAACCAGAAAAAGAATTGACAAAATCTTCAATTTTAAATCTTGTCTGAAATCTCTTCTTTCTACTTAAAAAATAACCTACTAAGCTTTCATGAGTTTGGAAATTATTTATAGTTAATGTATAAAAAGTCAATTTTATACGTGATGTTAAGAAAAATCACTTAAAAACTGAATTCCTCCCTCAAAACTCCCCATCCAAACACATTGTTATTTTCATATGGAGAAAATTAATGCTACAGAGTTCACATGTATGGGAAAATCTATACTGTAATATTCCTTGAGAACATCTTAAAGCAGAGTTCTTTTGCTTGCCCCTTAAACTAGCACCCTACATATTCCTACTCTAGCAAGTACAAATTATGGCAAAATAGCATATTCTTTTATGCCACTCTGCTAGTTTAGAGAGCAAAGAACTGCAAATAAGAAAATTAACCACGCCAGCTGTTAGACCTCTTTGCTTCAAAAGCAGCCCCATCATTGAGCATGTCATGTGCATCAGTTTCCATTCCCAGCTTCGAGAGAGCCAGAGCCTGCAGATAGAATGCAGTTGGCCAATCAGGTATGCATACCTGTGCCTGCATGGCATCCCTTAATGCAAGTTCTGCTTGATCATTCATCAAGTAGGAGAAGGCTCTTCTTGCAAACACAGTAGCAGAGGGAACAGACATCATAACCACCAACTGTTTAAATGCAAATAAATAAAGGACAATCAGAATAGGAGTGTATAGAGAGACACAGCCAGAAACCTGTAAAAAAATGTGAAACACTGAACCTACCTTTGAATAGTACTCAATAGCATTTTTGAAATCCTTGTCCCTGAATGCAATATCCCCAAACTTTTTAGTGTTCAATATATCTTGCACTTGCTGTGTCCATTCTTGGAATGAAAGCTGCAATCACATCTTTAATTAATATACAAAAGCAAGAACCAAAAACATTAGTCAGAAATCCAGAGATTAACAAGTTAGATTTACAATTTTAGTCTCTCCAAGTAAAACAAACAGCTTTGTGCTGCAGAGACAGCACCTTATCCATCAATGCAATGCAACTAGAGTGCATTAACTGTTTATTTTATGAATCAGATAACAGGAATATTAGCCATGCTAACAGGTATAATACATCAGCTACATATCCACACATCCCACTCAGTAGTAACTATATGATTTTTGACATACCTCATTTTCTGCTCCTTCTTCATCTTTATAACCTGTTTTTAACAATATATCATGCACAGCAGTGAGATCCATTCTTGCACAAGCCTTTCCAAGGGGAGAAAGCATCGTTGGTAGCACTGCTGTGTTTTTAGTTAGGCCCATCAACACATGAGATGCTACCTGTAAAAAGGAGGAGGGTGATTCAACATGAAGAACAAATACTTTACATGGAAGAGAAGAGAAACCTAGAAAATGAAGTTGAACACAATTGAAATGGAGATAAAAGGACAAGAAATGAAAGCGGAAGCTCAACATTGAAAGCTAAAACGAAAACTGAAAACCTCTTTTTGCTTCTGAAGAGGTGTAACGGAAGTAAGAAGAAACTTAATTTCAGGTCGTTCTCTGGCCTCAAACTGAAGACATTTTGAAGCAAGCTCAACCAACTTTGTAGCATCATCATTCGCATATTGCCCTTCGAGGGAAGAGTCCATCAACAACAAAACATTCTTCCCTCTAATCAGGTCCAAAGCCTATAGAACGAAATCATTCCTATTAAAAAATTCCATACCCTTGCGTTGAATACACCATACTATTCAACTTCATATGATTTAACTAAGCAGCAAGAATAGACATATATGTATCAAGTCAAAACATAAAAGGAATTCAAATACTAATTATGCAAATCACTCATTTCCAATTCTATGCGAGCATAAACTCAGCAACCAGAAAGTAATCATAAAATCCAGTCCCATGTAGAGGGACAATAACTCTTTACCAACGTATGCACCAAAAATATTTCATCAATCCAGTATGTCATAACCAGACAATACTCACGTGAATTGGATAGATCGTATAATTCACATATCAAACATCAATGGAGTCCAGATGTAGGATAATATAGAATGCTTAGCATATCTAACAAAGCAGAATAAAAAAAATTCTTAAAGGAATGCAGAGAGTTCAAATTAACATACATGGCTAGGGGGAATATGCTTGCCACTTAAAAGATCCAGAAGAACAGTTCCATAACTGTAGATCACACTCTCCGGGATTATCCTGCCTGCAGGTGTCATCGGATTACCATATTGTCATTAATTATACTTAGCAGCAAGACTTCTGATAAGACAGTTCTGAAAGAATCAATGAATCCAGCAAACATTTTTATTCCTTTTAGACTCTAAAGAACACGTTGACAAAACAAAAATTCTGCTCTATAATTCATCGTGTATGTATATAATAATCCCATTCCATCAAATGCGTATAAGCAAAAGTAAAACGTTCAACCACCATCAATTATCCGCAAAAATACATGCCAGCAAATATACCTGTTCTCAAAAATTCAGGTGGAGTGTAAGCTAAATTGGTACTGTAGCTTTTCCCGTCTCGACTATTTTTCATAAGCCCAAAACTAGACAAGCGGGGATCACCATCCTGACATAAGTGAATAAATTAGCAACAAATTTCAATAGCTAATTTAGACATATACTAACGAACGAATGAAGTTCATGGCATTTAACATTCTTTGTGTGCAAGCATATGAATATAATGGCAACTAGGCACCACCTATGATGTGGAGAAGACAACAAAGAAGTATCAAAGTCACACAACAAGCATATGGGATAGATATACCAAAGCAGAAAACTGCATCAAACAGAAAATGTTTCACAATGCTTATAATATGGTGACAACGTTTACAAAACAATGAGTTCATTACGTTAGGTTCATAATCACACCTCATCAAAAAGAATCCTATATGCATTCAGATCATGATATATTTTCCGGTTTTCCATACTGCAATGATCTAGTGCCTGCGCAACATGGTACGCAACTCTTACACGCATTTCCCATGGTAATGGTTGCTTGTCCCCTGACAGAAACAAAGAATTCATCAACAAAAAATTAAGAAACTAAAAATCAAACTACCGTTGTCAAGTGAAACAGATATTATGATAGAACAGGACTAATAAAAAAGGCAATAAAAATATGTCACGCTTTCTACAAAGATAAAGGAATTAACATTGGATTGTCCAGAAAGCTTGAAAAGTTTCGCTATACATTTTTTGTTAAGATTATGTTACGATTTGCAATGTATGCAGTTATTTAGTGCCAATAGTGGAGAAGAATGACAGAACTAAAAGGAATTACATTATATTCTACTTCTACTTTGGGGTGAAGTTCTTTGCTTCTTAATGGTGTTCAGCTAATGTAGCAATATCCCTTTCAGAGGGGTTTCTTAGTTGGATATGCAGAGATGTTGGTTAAATTTGCTTGACTAATCAAATAAAAATTAATTCCACGGGCCAAAATCTCTTCGGTATGTAATTACTAGATCAGATAAGATTAAAGCTACCCAAGTTCAGGTACAAAAAAAGGACTTCGTCAGTTGAGTTATGTTAGGTTTGGGTGAATATGAAAGGTGGAAACTGACAATATCAAGATTTTATTGTGTTAAAATGCAGTACCTTTATGCAATCTTATCTTTCAAGTGTCCATTTCACTCCAACAAAACAACATGGCCTTAAAAGCATGAGAATTGTATAACTTATATTGGCCAACAGCTAAATAAATGTATCATTTCTGTCTCTGTAAAAGCATATTAGCTCTTAGAATATGCGATTTACGGATCCAGCAAACTACACAAATGGGGTAAAAATTTAAGACAGGCAGCCCTGTCTTTCAAGAAATGAAAGCAAGGACTCGCTACCAGATCTAAAGACAGTCAGTCAACAAGGAGAATGACAAGAGAGGGAAAAAGTACTATAATTAATAAAGAGCTTTAAATGACTGCTAACGAAGTTAAATGTAAAGATAAAAGAGAAGTACAATGAAAGAGATGTTTGGACAAAGTGTCATTTGGCATGTACTCAGCTACCAAGAGCCTTTCATCTCCTTCAGCACAACAGCCAATTAGATTCACCAGTCTCTTGTGCCTCACTTTCCCAACTCCAGCTGCCTCTGCCTGACCAATCAAAACCATTAACAACAATAGCTTGCATTGGCAGATTAAATATCACGGGGTAAAAAAATGCATGAGGGAAAATGTTTAAAATTTAGAGAATCTAAAATTTTATCTCCCAGTCAGAAATGCACAAGAGAATCCACAAAAATTAGCAGTGCGTTTCAAAAAAACAACTAAATATTGTCCTTTCTTCCTCAATCGGCAACCATACCGAGGGCTATTAAAAGTTGTCCATTTCACTCACCATAAACTGTTGAGCATCAGGCCAAGACAGTTTTGAGAACCGCTTCACAGCAACTAAACGATTGTTCTCTAGCTTCCCTCTGTAGACCACATTGGGGGCTTTCTCCCCACTCTCAGAAACAATGTAATCTGTGTTGAACTCATTTGTGGCCCTTCGAAGTTCACTCAGACCGTACTCTTTGAATGCTGGAACCTGAACCTCTTGATCAACATCATCCCCACCATTCCCTTCAAAATCAAAACAAAACAAAACCAAACTAAAAACCCAAACTTTCTCAAACAAACACCAAAAAAAACGACAAGAACCATCTCCATTGAGCTTCGAAACCCATCAAAGCAAGATTTTGACAAACCCCACATCAATAAAAAAAGTAAACAAACATTTCCACACCGTAAAAACCAAAAGGGTGTAAAAGTCCCAAGAGCAAAACGCAGAGACAAGGTGAAAAGAACTAAGGGGAGACCTGGATCGGGTTTTTTTGAGTCTGGCAAGGCAGTGGGAGGGTCTTCAGGAGAGTGAAGATGAGCGGTTTTGGAGTGTAGGCAACCCATGGCTATGATTGGGAAATGATTAACTAATATCGCAATGGAATAATAAGTGGGGTGTCAACATAGAAAAAAGGTTGTAAAAAAATTACAACAACGCTAGATTGGCATAGGGGAGCAGAAGCAGAAAGAGTGATGGTTCTATGGTGTGGGTTTGATATGATAAGCGTAAATGCAGCAAGTGACTGAGTCGCTGCTACTCTTTCTTGTTGCAGCGGCGGAAACACAGCCAAGAGAGAGAAAGAGAAAAAGAGAGAGATGAAAAGGCCAAAACCCAAAAGGTAAGTAAGTAAAATGAATCAGTATGAAAAAGAGGAGAGAGGAAGAAGGATGAAAAAGGAACAGAGAAGGTCACATGACAGTGTCTATGATGCAGCACGTGCTGCCCCAGGTGGGACTGGGAAGTAATAAGAAGTAAGAAGTGAGAACCATTTTCCAATGGCACTTCATAAATTAATATTATTTTCTTTTTTACTCTTGCGTTGGAAAATTACAATTTACAACGTGGACATGTTATTGTGTGGAAGTGGAACCAGTTTGTTTGTTGTTGATTGTTCTCCTCCATGTTTTAAGGGTAGTGTTGTGATCAAAAGTGAATCACCTTTGTTTTCTCTCATGTGTTTTCAACTTCAGCCAACAATAATGATCACAAGCAGATTCAACTTTCGAAGTTCTTACTTTCCCTTTGCATCATCCTCTGCAAACTTTTCAGAAGCTTCCGTAGTTTCAATTTCAATCCACCAACATTGCCCAAATACCTTCACCGTTTCGAAGAGAACTTACTGTTTTCTTACAGAGTAGAGAACAAAACACCAATTCCATACATTCTACAACCAGCTCAATTTCACCACCATTCATTTTTATTCCACTTATAACATTTTTTTTAATTTTTTTAATACAAGATTAAATGACATCGACTATAATCTTTACCATTTGGCTAAAGAGTTAAAAATTAAAATATTTAATGCTAATTAATATGTTTACATTATTTTTAATCAATATTTTTGCAGGCTATGAATTTATCCAGGGGTGGCTTTATTAACATTTACCTTCAAATAAATGCACTCGGCATAGCATGATTGACTCACGGGTCATTTTTTTCTTTTTTTTTTATATGTAACAAAATCACGCTATTATTTAGTATTTTAATTTTTAAAATTTATTCCATATATTGCTAAAAGCGTAAAAATAAATTATATTACCACTGTTTGTAAAAGGAATATTTATTAAATTAAAAATAGACAAAAAACAAGTACAGATAAGATGAATTTAACTAAATAACAAAACGAAAGTACAAATACAATTAAAACTAAAACAGTACAATTAATAACCAAAATTTCCAAACAAAATTGATTGTAGGATCTACAAAACTAAATTTAGGTGACAAGTTTGATCATAATTAATTCCAATACTCACATAATTATAAATAGTCAACTTAATGACGTAGTATTATTTAGCAAGGTTAATAACAACTTACTTTCAAAATAAAAGCTCTCGTTCTGTTAACTAATAATGAGATCATGCAATCGAAAAAGTATAAATGCTTTAATAATAGTGGCATGATATGAGATAAAATAATACATGGGTTGTCGAAAAGCAATCATGTAAGACATGAAAAATTACTCTTTTATAATATTTTTTAAATCTTAGATATTATGTAAATTATTATCATCTCCCAAAAAAGCAATTGAAGATACAGTGTGACTCTAAAATAACCCATTTTTAGTAGGCAAAAAAGTTTTATTTGTATCGTACAGAATTATTTTTAGAAATAATACAGAAAAGGTGTTCCCTTATTTTTCATTTCTCCTTTAGCCTTTTTATCCACTGATTACAAAAACATGTTTTTATAATATCCTGAATGAAGAGTGTGAATAACATTTCTTAATCTCCATATTTAAAAAAAAAATGCAATATTTAAACTAAAAAATATTTCTGTAATTATCAACATAAATTGTATAAATTGAAACTAATTAAGCATATTTTAAATTTCATAAATAATAATATATGTACTCTTTTTAAAATATATTAAAATATAAATCAATGCATCATTTTATTATTATTGTTCAATTTTTACAATATTTGATAAAGACAGTTGGGAGAATATAATTTCATCAGACAAACAAAAAATTACTTTTTACATATAAAATTGACAATTTAGCATTCAGTACAAATTATGTATGCGAAAAATAGACCAAATGTATAAGAATGTTAAATTGAATTGTATATTTATTTATTTTTATTTTTTTTGTTAAAGTCGTAAGTAATTTTACTTGGAAGATAATCTGTTAAAATCTTTTATAGAACTTACTTCTTCTTCTAAACTTAGTTACGATTAAATAATATGTAATATAAAAAAAATAGAGAAAAAATGTTTACTCAAAATGTTTTTATACTACTTCATATATCTAAACTATATATTATATTCAATTCTCAATTAACTAATTGATTTTTTTTTAAGTAAACTACTATTACAAAATACAAACAAATATTATTTAAGATGTAATAACTTCTTTTACTAAAAACACAAGTATTCTTTTAAAAACAATTACTTGTGACTAAAAATTTTAAATATTATTTGAAACTCAACTTTAGAACTATTTCACTAAGTATTGTAGGCATTGTAGCGCACGCATACGCACATACATCCAAAAATTTATAAACATATATCAAACTCGTCAAGTCAAATAGAATGACTATATTGTTCATACATGCAAAACTTTTAAAAATAACTCGAGAATGATAAAATATGAATACGTTGGTCAAAATCTTATAGAAAATATAGGTAAAGGAAAAAAAACTTTATAGAACTTTAAAAATGACTTGAGAATGATAAGATATAAATAGATTGTTTAAAATCTTATAGAAAATATAGCTAAAGAAAAAATGATAATTTTAGAAAGGTAATGATATTTATACGATTATATTTCACTAAATAAATTTTTTATTTATAAACTTTATATTTTAACAATAAAATAATTGGTCTCAATTTATAAAAATACATCTACTCTTAACTGTCTTTTAAAAGATACATAACCTAAACAACACTTAATTTTATCTAGTCACATAACTTATATCTATTGAACTAAACTGAATGCTACATATCTTACATGATTTAATAAAAGTAGATATATGATTTACATTTGATTGTTTAAATATATAAAAAAAATAGCTCTAACAATTTGTATAACTTATTTTTTTATATTTAAAAAGATAAAATAATAATTTAAAGTATTTTTTCTTTTGAGGTTATCTAATTGGAAATTAAAGTAACAATTTTTTTTCACCGAGAAGGGATGACTTTAGAGAAAATTTTATTATGAAATATAATATAATCTAAATCAAAATGTTGATAAAAGTAGTTATATTTTACTCATTTGAATGTCAATTATCTAAAAAAAATCAAGTATTATTCCTTTTTTTTTTCTCCTAATTTCTTCTTTCTTATTATTTTTTTAAAAAAGTGTTAAAGTACTTCTCAATTTTCTTTTTTTAATAAAATTATTATTTTATTATACATATAGGCAATCTTAGTTTTTTCAATTTGTTCTCACATTCAAATGGATCTCATATGTTTCATGTGATTATAAAAATTATGACATCGAGGGGAAAATAATTTATATATATATATATATATATAACTAGTGTTTTTTATTAGATTTTTAATCAAGATAATATATTTTAATATAGTAAATAATATTACATTCTCTTCTCTCTTATACTAAACTCGTTTCTTACTCCATACGTTTCATTTTTTATATTATATTAAATATATTTAATTTAAGCTAATAACAAATGCATATAACCGAAGGTATATAAAAAGTTACACCGTGATAGTTTTATTCAATAATGTGAACTATAGCTTCCCATACATGGCACTAAGATTTCTATTGGTCTATTATCACTTGTACGTTTTTAGTTCCAAAACTACATAACACACTATTATTTTTACTTTTCATCCCTTGTTCACGTTGTATTAATGTTTGAAATTTGTACTTAATTATATTAGTATTATATGCAGTAAACCTTTTGGGTTGTTGAAGTGGACCTTGTGCAAGGTCATGAACATTAATATTAGTATGCTTCAAGGTTATTGTTCATTATCTATTTGAAAAACAAAACCAAAATTCATATCAACTCTTTAAAAATGATATTTCATTACTCACATGACACTGAAACTGATCTCTCAATGAAGGTATTTTTCTATCACAATTGATAACCTTAACCTTATATGATTTCTTTACCTTCTTTTCTTAATAATTCTAAATTCTTTATATATAAAATTGTTAGTAATATATATAAATGTTACTTACATTATAACTTATATATATATATATATATATATATAT